CGGTGGTGTTTCTGTTCCCATCGCCGGCGGGGGGCTGCTGTGGAGCGGGGTGGGCCCGGCGGGGAAGAGGACGGGGGGAGCGACGCGGCGGTGCCGCAGTGAGGGGGGGTCACTTGCCGTGAGGGAAGGCTGGCCTCGGGGTGAGCCTAGGACCAGGCTCCTCTTCCTCGCTATGACTGTACGGATTCATGTGACATTGAGGCTGGGGAGGTGGGAGGAAGCGGGGAGGGGGAAGGAGAGGATCCGGAGGGAAGGGGGAGGGTTGAACTTTCTGCCAGGCTCGGCTTTTCACACCTTTCTCTCCTCAAGTTGGGAGAGGACTTTTTGGGAGAGAGCGGCTCGGCGGGGTCCCCTCCGAGCGGGTCCCCCGCGCCCTTGCAGGGACCCACCCGGCTGGGGCTGCGCGGGGATGGGATTGTGCCGGGTTTCAAGGACACGGGAGATGAACAGGACTTTGGGAGCCAACATCTGCCTGGCTGGTGACGTCAGCAGCCCCGTGTAATCCTCTTGTACTGAAGGCAGATGCCTTATTTGTTTGGCTGGAGAGGCATTAATCCCTAATTCTGGAGCAGCAAGCGAGGGGGAGAGACCGGACCGCTTCCTACCCCCCGAAAGCAGCTAGCGGGACTCTCCTCCTCCCGTTCTCTCTGCGGCTCCAACAGGGCAGAGAAGCCGCCAGCCCTCGGCAGGTTTGACCATTTCATTTTTTTTATTGCTTTTTTTTTGTATTTGGACTGGGTTTATTATTCTTATTCGGATGCCTGGATCTCTCCCCGCGGATTTCGTTCTCTGCTCTCATTCGCTCCTCAAGAGGAGAAAGAAGGGGAAACGACAAGGTTTATCTCTCCCCCTCCTCCTCTTTCTTTTTTTTTTTCATTTTTTTCATTTTTTCTCTTTCTCTCTCTCTCTCTCTTTTTTTCTTCTTTTTCTTTTTTTTTTCTTTTTTAAAAAGCCTTTCCCCTCTTTTTGCTTTCCGGGGGTGCTTTTGCAGTGGCGGGGAGGAAGGCTGCCCTGTGCGGTTCCTCCCCAGCCGGCAGCTCCCCATCGCGCTGCAGAGACCCGCTCGCCCCGGCGCTTCGGGGATGGGCGAGATGG